TTTGGAAGACTTTGCTTTTTGTCCCATGATCCTTGCACTTTGGTGTGCTGCAGGGCATGATTTGCCTCCGACATCTATATGAAGCTGTTGGGAGTGGTCCTTAGGAGCTTTGGGGCAAAGTCTCGTAACATTCATGTTGGGAGGGGCTGTACATGATCTGTACCATTGTCTCGGTGGACTGGGTGAAGGCCAGTAAACTGAGTATGAACCCAGAGAAGATGAAGGCATTGTGGGAGATTGGCCTGTTATTGATGGGGGTCACACTCTCTCTGAAAGAACTGGTACAGTGGTACCTCGGGTTACAGACGCTTCAGGTTACAGACTCCGCTAACTCAGAAATAGTACCTCGGGTTAAGAACTTTGCTTCAGGATGAGAACAGAAATGACACGGCGGCAGCGGGAGGCCCCATTAGCTAAAGTGGTACCTCAGGTTAAGAACAGTTTCAGGTTAAGAATGGACCTCGAGAACGAATTAAGTTCTTAACCTGAGGTACCACTGTACTTGTCTTGCCTTAACAATTTATATTCGGCTTGCTAGAACATATGACCTTTTTTTTCATTTGAGCAACTTTTCCACTTTTTAATGGAACTGCCTTGCCCTTTAGTCTTCTTGATTCTGTCATTGCTATCAAGCAACATCTCTTGGCCTGTCTAGCCTTAAAAATAAAATAAAAAATAGTGATATAACTTTCAATTGAACTTCATAGTTGTTTTATAAATTGCTCCATTTCCTTAAAGAATTTGACTGTCTTTAATGACACTTATCACGTTTTAATTAATTCTTTCTTTCACTTTAATGGATGTTATTATTTTAAAACTGAATTACTTTGCTTGAGAGCCATGGCAGTGTTTTGCTAATGAAAGTGCTGTGACTGTTTCCCACTTGACCATTCACTGGGCATCACTTGTCTTTCCTTAGCAATGCTGATCAAAACATACTTTAGAGTACATCTGCAGTTTGGTTCACCGCAGGATTAGAGTGGAGAGTGGTCTTAGCATACTTCAGTCTCTGCCTGGAAGGCTTCTCTGACATCAGAGTATATATGTACAGGCAGTGGTGTAGTGGGGGGGCACGGGGGGCATTGTCTTGGACGCAAAATTCTGAGGAATGCAACCAGGCACCCCCATGCAGGTGCCGGCTTCCACGGGGATCCCCACCCAAGTGGGGACCTAGAAATCTAGAAACTCTTTTAATCCAATTTATGTCGACTAATCAAGTAGTCAGTTGGTCTGTTGCATTTATTTGTTAGAAACCATTTTCATCACAAAAAAAGATACAACCAGTTTAGAAATACATTTTAACATAAGTGGTCCCTGGCACATGGTACGCCATGTTCTACAATGGAATTTTCTGATCTGTTAACGCAAACAGAAACTTCCTATGTAGTGCATTTATCCCCATGCCATCAACAATTAACAGATTTTCTCCCTATTATTCAAAAAGGAAACTCTCTGGAGAATTCATTTGAGAAGGCTATTCCTGAGAGAATTATGCAGGAAGCAATACAGTAAGGAAAGAACTAATCAGCATGAAGAAAATTTAAGCCACCTGTTTTTCGGCTGTCTTCCTGATGTGTGTGTGTTTTTAAATCTCAGAATCATGCTGAGCTTCTGTTCTAGGTGCAGAAGGATGATGGAAAAGTATATGTCACTATTTTTGGTTCAAAGTTCCCTAATGCTATGCCTATGCAACATCCTTATGAGTATTTGAACCACCGTTAAGGCCCATTCAGTCATGCAACATAAGCAATTTGTAATGTGTGATGGTATTAGAAGGTGGCCTTGCCCATCATAAAGGTTCTTCTGTAGTGCTATTAATGTAGTACATTTGTCATTGTCATCTTGGCTATTCCTGTCTGTTGGATCAAGGGACCAATCAACCGTATTTTGACTTGCAGAAAGTGTTCCATATTGGGGCAGGTCTTGAAGATGTTTGCAAAATGCAGTTTCCCATTTGTTGACAAGCATGGATTTACGTTGTTAATCCCCTGTTGTGAGATATCTGCATTCTCAGTATCACATATTTCGTGTTGACTACACTGGCTGTCAATTCAGTACCTGAAACATCTGAGTACAGCATGTTGTTCCCTTCTCCTCTTTCTGAAGGCAGGTTAAGGCTGTTGTCCTATAATCCGAGTAGCACTTTTGAATCCACATGCATAGGATTAGGACCTAAAACCTTCTTTTCCAGAAATCACCGGGTTACTGTTTTCTGTGCAAGTCTGCCTTTTAAAAAAACAACAACTGTTTACTGATGTTTCATTGCATCTGATACCACTCTCTTAAAATTACTGAATACCATTGTGAAATGTATATGAACACTTAATTTTTAAAATAGGTATAGTTTCCTCCACATCCTGCCATCTATTTTCAGGAATTGAATTGGCTCCCCTGAATGCTCTTCAGGTTTTTTCACATGAAAGAAAGATCTAACTTTAACAACTAAGCCTTACGAGATCTACAGAGATTTAGGCAACTTCCTGCTTCCTATAAATGTAGCAATCAGCAGCAGCTGCCTTTCTTTGTAGCCACATTGCTTTGATAACTTTTGAGTTCAAGTTTGTACCATAACTGCCATGTCTCAAATGCCAACTATTAACACTCCAGCTCTGCCAAGTCCAATTAAATATTTTATGATTAAACATCAAAACATGTCATGCCCAGGAAAATGAATGTGCTTTTATACTGTCTAATGAAAATAAAAAGCTGAATAGGCCAGCTATTCTTTTCCCTTAAGCCCAGTGTATTGAAAGCGATTATTCATGTTAAGATGACATATATGTCTTAAATAAATGTCTTTGCCCTATTTTTACTGCTTATCTTGTAATAAATATGGTGGAAAGTAAAGTAGAGGGGAATGATCTGCAGCCACAGGGCTGATTTAGTCAGACTGGTAACTAATTAATGAGTTGGGAACTTGTCATTGGCTTATTCTTCAAGAAGAATGCTAGCTCTTGTTCTGTTCTTTGCAAGCAGATCTAGGCTTGGCATATCACACTTGACTGGTTAATGCACAATAGGCTTACATGGGCAGCACATTCTCTAGCTGGTCTGTATCTGTTTCAAATGGAGGAAGCTCATAAGAACCTTAACTCCTTGTGCCTCGCAACTAAACTGCTTTGCTCCTTCTGAAATCTTAACACCCATCTCAAGCGCACTTTGAAGATACTGGATCTTTTAGGTGTTCAATCAGCAGAGAGACTATAAACCATGGGTAGGCAAACTAAGGCCTGGGGGCCGGATCCGGCCCAATCGCCTTCTTGAGAGCCAGTGTGGTGTAGTGGTTAAGAGCGGTAGTCACGTAATCTGGGGAACCGGGTTCGCGTCTCCGCTCCTCCACATGCAGCTGCTGGGTGACCTTGGGCCAGTCACACTTCTTTGAAGTCTCTCAGCCTCACTCACCTCACAGAGTGTTTGTTGTGGGGGAGGAAGGGAAAGGAGAATGTTAGCCGCTTTGAGACTCCTGAAGGGGAGTGAAAGGCGGGATATAAAATCCAAACTCTTCTTCTTTTTCTAAATCTGGCCCACGGATGATCCGGGAATCAGCGTGTTTTTACATGAGTAGAATGTGTCCTTTTATTTAAAATGCATCACTGGGTTATTTGTGGGGTATAGGAATTCATTCATTTCCCCCACAAAAAAATATAGTCCAGTCCCCCACAAGGTCTGTGGGACAGTGGACCGGCCCCCTGCTGAAAAAGTTTGCTGACCCCTGCAACAGTTGCAAAAGTTACTGTACCTGACAGTGAGCTACATCATACAGCTTATCTGTGAGAGACTCTAAATTCATTTATCAAAATGTCATACAAAGCCAAGTACCTCTTTTAAGCTAGCAAGTCCCATCAACACCAAAGTGGCATGTTTTAGCTTAATGTATCTGTTTCCAGAAAATGAAAACTTAGCTGCACCTTCCAACATCACAGAGCTGTGGGACTATATCTGGCATTAGCTTTGTTTTATCAAATACCTCATGGCCTCATAGGTATACAAATCTTGTGACACAAAGTAATTGGATTCTGAAAACAGGACTACTAAGAAAATGTTAATTAATGGAATACTTACTCAAACTGCTTAAGTGCATACTTTCCCCCAGTCTATAAAGTGCTGCTTTTGCACTCTTTAACCTGAATGGGCCTATCCTATATGTGCGTGTTATGGGCTGGCAACAGTTACTAAGGTCTCTTGGAAGCATGACACTTGGTTTGTGAATCAGCTCAGGTCCTATCCCTCTTTTACAACAGTAATTCCTCATCTTTATTCCTGGAAGGTGATCACAGCTTCCTGGACTCAAGTTCACGCTTTACAATACATTAGCAGCAGCAGCTTATTGTCTATTATTTTTTAATTATTTCACGCCATTTGGAGTTCTTTTTTTAACCTAAAAGTGTTGTTCTGCCCCTACATTACCATTTGGGTAATTACCATTTACTGAGTTCTCAGTAATAATAATAATAATAATAATAATAATAATGGGACAAGTGTGAGATTCTAACTATTTATTTGTGTAAGTATGGTAGCTATAAATTTAGCAAATGCAGGATTACACACTGTAATATAAAGTATATATTGCAATTAAAAAAAATTCTGAAGGGGCAGAGTATACATATTTTTCCTTATCTCCTGACAAATCAAGATGGTGATGTTTCTGGTTTCTGAACAGCTGCACTTAAATCAGCCAGAAAAACTATATGGCACCCCTGGAAAATTGTTAACTGTCCATCTGCTGATGGACTGAATATTGAATTCATTGAATATAATCAAAGGTGGTCCTTCAACTTATCCGTGTGGAGCAGACGTCACCTTTTACTGTAATCTCATTGTCTCACCTGCCCTTACACAATAGAACCAAGTGTTATTTGTGCTCTGCTGCTATATGCTGTGCCTCTAGGTTTCAGTGGAGATGTTGCTAGGGAGGGAGAGCCTTCAAATAGTGAAATATTTGACAACAGCAAAAGGACTAAAGTACAAGTTTTTTGACCATTGGTATATATTTCTTCTAGTTTTTATGCAGATTTTGGACCTTTAAATGTGGCTCTGGTACATCGATTCTGCTGTAAACTAAACAAGAAATTAAAGGTGAGACCATTGTATTTTCTTCTAAATATTGTTTTTTTGCTAAAATTTAACAAACTGTTATTATTAACAGCCATTTATGATAATTAACAGAATTGCTGTTACATTAAAGATTGTGTTTTTCTCTCTCTGAATAAAGGAAATGACAATTTATGCTCCATATGAAAATTAGACCATGGATTTGTTTATGCAGTTCCATGACATCTAAAATATATACCACATATATTAACGGTATTCTTCCAGTTAACTCACAAGATGATCTGAAACTTTGTTGGATGAAAAATAGTTTGAAAATGGTTATATTTCATAGAAATTCATGCAGTGGCTTGATTCACATATAAAGCTAAGCCAGGGTGAAACAAACCATTGCTTACAGGGAACAAGCATGTAAGCTGGTGCATGCTGTTCAAATTGCAGTCATCTCTCTTCCTTTGCTGCATTAAGAGGAAACCAACCAGAGTGTTGACTCACAATTACAGTGGTGCCTCGCAAGACGAAATTAATTCGTTCCGCAAGTTTTTTCTTCTTGCGAGTTTTTCGTCTTGCGATGCACGGTTTCCCATAGGAATGCATTGAAAATCAATTAATGCGTTCCTATGGAAACCGACTTCAGACCAGGTCCGGGGACAATCTGTCCCCCGACCTCTTCTGAAGGCTGGGGGGGGCGAAAGTCTTTGCTCCCCCCCCCCCACGGCAGCATTTTAAAATCGCCCCGGACAGCGGAGGACTTCTCCGCTGTCCGGGGCGATTTAAAAGCCCTCCCAGGAAGGCAGCCAGGGGGGACAAAGATTTTCGCCCCCCGCCAGCCTTCAGAAGAGGTCCAGGACCTCTTCTGAAGGCTGGCGGGGGGCGAAAATCTTTGTCCCCCCTGCCTGCCTGCCTTTAAAAGCCCTCCCGGGAGAGCGGAGAAACGCAGCGCGTTTCTCCGCTCCCCCGGGAGGGCTTTTAAAGGCAGGCAGGCAGGCAGGCAGGGGGGACAAAGATTTTCGCCCCCCGCCAGCCTTCAGAAGGCTGGGGGGGCGAAAGTCTTTGCTCCCCCCCCCACGGCAGCATTTTAAAATCGCCCCGGACAGCGGAGGACTTCTCTGCTGTCCGGGGCGATTTAAAAGCCCTCCCGGGAAGGCAGCCAGGGGGGACAAAGATTTTCGCCCCCCGCCAGCCTTCCCCTCTTTTGAAGCAAGGGGCGGCAACGGGGAGAAGATCGCTTCTCCCCTTTGCCGCCCCTTGCTTCAAAAGGGGTCCGGGGAGAGAGGAGAAGGCGCGCGCCTTTCCCTCTGTCCCCTCTTTTGAAGCAAGGGGCGGCAACGGGGAGAAGATTGCTTCTCCCCTTTGCCGCCCCTTGCTTCAAAAGGGGTCCGGGGGGAGAGAGAGGAAGGCGCGCGCCTTTCCCTCTGTCCCCTCTTTTGAAGCAAGGGGCGGCAACGGGGAGAAGATCGCTTCTCCGCGTTGCCGCCCCTTGCTTCAAAAGAGGTCCGGGGAGAAAGGGGAAGACGCCAGCATTTTAAAAAACCTCGGGACAGCGGGGGACTTCTCCGCTGTCCGGGGCGAATTTAAAATGCTGGCGGGCGGCAGCGAAGCCTTCGCTGCCGCCCGCCAGCATTTTAAAAAACCTCGGGACAAAGGAGAAGTCCCCCGCTGTCCCGGGGTTTTTTTAAATGCTGCTGGGCGGCAGCGCTGCCGCCCGCCAGCATTTTAAAATCGCCCCAGACAGCGGAGAAGTCCTCCGCTGTCCCGGGGTTTTTAAAAAACCTCTCCGCCCCCCGCCAGGCTTCAGAGCAGCCTTCCGAAGCCTGGCGGCGGGAGGAGGTCCGAGGACAGTGGGCAAGACGCCCTGTCCCGGAGATTTCCCTATGGGCTTTCGTCTTGCGAAGGAAGCCCATAGGGAAATTCGTTTTGCGAAGCGTCTCCAAAACGGAAAAACCTTTCGTCTAGCGGGTTTTCCGTCTTGCGAGGCGTTCGTCTTGCGGGGTACCACTGTACATGCAAATCAGTGCTTGGGGTCTGTTTTTCCCCTCCAAACCACAAGAGCAAGCAAATAATATACCATGGTTTGTTTCTGGCTTTGTTCTAGCTGTGTGTTTGAAGAGAAGCAAATTATGAGTTGCTGGTTTGAAGGTAACACAGGGGTTGCCAACAAGAAAGGGATGGGTGCGATTTGAGCAGTGTGTGCTAGGATTCTGTTTTGTTTCTCTGTTGGGTGTGAAATAGGCCGTTATCTCAACACGATAAGTTTATAAATTTCTTAAGGCATAAGCTGTCTTGAACCGTGATCCACGTAGCCTAGGTCATAATAGATCACTCTTCTTCAAGATGCTTCATCCCTATGCTGAGTACAAGAGTAGAGAACAAGTCACTGGTTCATTGTTCTCTAACCCCTATTCATGTGAGAGATTTAACATTTGATATTACTGGTGTTTCTGCGCAGTAAGCAGCAAGCTAAGAATGGAGCCTGGTGATTGATTTACATGTTCTGGACTTTTCATTCAAAGGTGTGCCTGTCTTGTAAGCATTCCCTCTGTCTTTATTGTTGTTGCTGAGTGAATGCATGAGGAGACTGTTTGTTCCAGATGTCTTAAAGAGGTTATTTTGGTGTCCCAGTTCCTCAGGCGTATTGTCTACTAGAATTTAGGCATTCAGTAGGTTTTATTAGAAGATGAGCACAGGCGATGGGAAGTTAGCCACAAGAATGCCATCACCTGTGGCTGATGTAATATCCAAACCATCTCAGAAAGAGGCTGAAGAAGAAAAGTAAGAAAGACAAGTGGCCAATTTGCAGGCATACTGTGATTGTCTAGGGACAGATGAATCTGTCAGTTTTGTTTCCCCCTGTTTTTTCCTTTTCCGATCCTAAGTTTGTCCCATTTCTGCAGCAGTTTGTGATTTTTATTTATTTTTAGTCTGCATAAAATCTTGTGAGGATTTTTGTGCACATTTCTCCTAATATTTGCATTTTGTGTGTACCTTTTGGGGATCTACATAAGAAAATTCAGAGAAGTACAGATTTCAAAAGATTAAATGTGTTTTCGTTCACATATTAGTTCAGAAAATGCAAAATTAAGTTTTCATGTGAACCAAATAAATGTATTCTCCCATCCCTAGTTGAGGAGCACTTGACCAGGGAGTGAGGTGATTTGAAAGAACTGCCAAGACACACAACGCTAAACTGGTATTACTTAGCTGCCAGTATTTCATTCGCTTAAATTTGTGGTTCTGTGCTAACCATCCCTTCGTACTTTTTCCCCCTTTTTAAACAGTCATTCAGTCTTTCAAGAAAGAAAATAGTATATTATACCAGCTTTGACCAGCGGAAACGAGCAAATGCCGCATTTTTGATAGGTGCATATGCAGTAAGTATCACTTGATAAGTCTGTCTGTCTCGCTCGCTCTCTTGCAGGGACTTGCTGACCTATATGTTTTTGGCTAAGTACAGATACTATAAATGCTAGTATCACTGTTATAATTCTTCTACAATCTAGTCCAATATTTAAAAGGTGGGAGAGATTTCCCCATTCTTCTGAACCTTTGTCTCTTCTGCTGCTCCCTTTCCTGCTTCTGGTCTTAAGCAGGGAAAGGAGGTAAAAAAGATAGTTACATTTAGTGGTACACTGTATTCACATAATACAGCATTGTTCGTTCTTGTGTCCAATTTCCTTTCAATATCTTCCTTGGACTGGGAATCCAGACTCTATGATTGGTCCCAGGGGGTTCAGTCTGCTGCAGGGCCTTTTTCCCTTATTCATTCTTCTTGGATTCAAGGGAACCAGCAGGAGAGACTGCCCTACAGCTTTCATGTTGAGCTGTGCGCACAGTTTTGACCTCTCCTTTGTTAAAGGGCACTTTGTAAATTATGTTTTTTAAAAGATCTACAGCTGTGCTGGTGAGGCAAGATGGCAAAGTTTGTGTTGGTTTTATTTGGGAAGCTTGATATGATGATGATGATTTGAAGCATGCATATAAAATGTAGGTTATTTATCTATATAGGTAAACAAGGTAAACGTTTGAAGTTTTGTAGCAGTACGTCTTAAAATAATGCTCTTTTGGCTAAATGACAGTAAGTTACGTTTTGGATTTATGTTGTTTAGAAATGGGTCTCCTGTATAGGGCAAGGGTGTGTAAATACCTGTGCCGAAAAGAAAAAATAAATATTATCTCTACTGAGATCATCAACATTACTTTGGGAATATGAACTTGTATAAGTACGTCATATGTCATAATCTTCCTGTATGGAGTAATGAAAACAAATGGGCCCTTTGTGAAGCAACTGAGCAAGAGACAAACAAATGAACTAGTTGAGCTTTTTCTAGAGGAGCATAACATTTGCTTTAACTTCATATGTGTGCTGAGAAACACCAAACAGTAGTCATATGGGGATGGTATTGACATGGAAATGAAATCAACAAAGGACCAGTACTTCACAAGAAGGCAAGGAGCAATTGCCACAGCTACTGTGTTTCGACTCGTAGTCATTGAAAGGGAGTTAGCTTTAAATTACCATATTTATTGCTCTATAAGACTTACAATTTCCCTCCTAAAAAGTAAGGGGAAATGTGTGTGCGTCTTATGGAGCGAATGCAGGTTGCACAGCTATCCCAGAAGCCAGAACAGCAAGAGGGGTTGCTGCTTTCACTGCGCAGTGATCCCTCTTGCTGTTCTGGCTTCTGAGATTCAGAATATATTTTTTTCTTGTTTTTCCTCCTCCAAAAACTAGGTGCATCTTGTGGTCTGGTATAGAGCAAAAAATACGGTACATTCTTGTGCCTATCAGCCCTCATTGGGCAGTAGGACTTAAACCCAATCTTTTTTGGATTTCTCTATACATTTGTTCTGTGCTTCTATATGGAAATTCTTCAGCAGGCCCAAATAGTTCCGTATGGTATGACTCAAGGGGGTCCAAGGATGATGGTCTGTAGAATGTGGCCTGGGGGATTTGTGTTTCCTGTTCTGTAATTCAACGATGCCATGATGAACTTGGTGTCCCATTTGTCATCCTTTCTGGCTATAATGTTGGAATCATTTCTAAGTCTGTAATGGCATTTATATTCTGCACGGTTGATTTTATACTTCTTGGCTGACAACCTCATCCTGGATATAACAATGGAAGCCTTCTGTGTTTAAATAAATAAATAAACGTGGTTGCTATTGCAACAGGCGTGATCATGCAGAACCATTAGTGTTGAGAAGATAGTGCAGCAAAAGTACTGCAAACAGTGAATTGTGGTAGAAATATTCCTTTTAATAGTAACTAATAAAGCATGTAGAAATGTCCAAGCCCTGTACAGCACTTAAATTGTTTGACTGCAGATAGGAATTCTCTAAGAGACACAGTGCAGAAGGAATAAGGAATGAAGAGGAAAACAAGCATTGGCGCACAGTTCTTTATGGCAAGGAGGACGGAAACAAGTTTCCTGTAGCTTCTGCTTCTCTGATTGATGGATGGGGCTAGGCTTGCCTGTCCCTTGCAATTATGTTCATCCTGAGAAGCCTTGGCAGAGCTCAGAGCATGCTTCCCTTTGGCTCTGCCCTCCCACAGCACTCCTTGTGCCATAGATAGCAGAAACAAACAGCCAGGTTAATGTAGAACTGCACACACACAAAGTGGAGCAGAAGAGCGATTATTCAGTTAGGACAGACATGTCTGCCTGGCTTGTGTATGACTGGCTAAATTAATTACATTAATGGTTGAGTTAAGAGTGCCACTGTTACATCACTTTTTAGCATGGACAAACTCTAATGGTCTGGTATACTTTCCTGCAGAGAAGTCAGGTGTGTGTTGTTCATGACGTTTTAACAAGGATTAGGGATGGAGATGCAATCTGTATCTCCAGTTGTGGGGGTAAGGATTCTGCAGGGGTTGATACTAGGCACATCATAGCCTCATCTAATTGCTGTTTCCCAGGTGTGGGTGCAAATCAAGCTTACAGGTGAGACAGGTAGTGCCAGAAGTGGGTCAGTCCTGCTTTGCACTGTATGCTTCTTAGGATAGTAGGCTGCTCTTTGAAGGAAATAGAATGAGAGTCTCTCCTCTCTTGCCAAAATAACCTTCCGTTGAATTACTAGTCCTAAACTTGCATGCAGCCAACATTTTCCACTCATTTATCTCTCCCTTCATGTGCTAGGTTTATTATGCATAATGCTGCTGTTTTGAAAAACAATGTTTCCTGATGTTTGTGTAGTCTAATACATGACATTCTGAACATTGTTAGTTTAGAGGTTTGCTTTTTTTACTGCCGTAATGCTAAAATATTAATGTGTAAAATGAGAATAGGCAAACACTAGATTAAATTCTAGAATGGAACTTCCACTGGTAGCTGTGTACTATAAACAGGCACACAATGTGACTTACGTATTTTCCGTTGAACCCAGTTCCCAGGAACACATATCTCCCTCTCATCTTGCTTTATTTATAATGCTGCCTTGAGTGTTGTTCAAAATGCAAGGTGGGAGCCCCATTCTTTCCCCCCATTTCCTCCACACTGTTAGCAAACTGTGCTCCTAGTTCTACCTAGCGAGGTCTAGTTAACATTTGACTCTACCATTGTGTGAAACAAATCACTCATGAAACCAGTATGATGTCCTGGTGGCACAGAGCACATCTGGTTGAATCTGGGACTCATACTGTTTACAGTAGAAAGTAATCATACTGTGTAGAGTGTTTTTTTCCCAGGCTGCCTTAAATGTAGCTCTATAATTCTCCCAGGATGCTTTTGTTAGTTTCAGTAGAACTCCTGGTATAACGTCATCGGCTATAGCAAGGAACTGTTTAGCAGCCACTGGTGTGTGAAATAACGGAAAGCCTGAAATGATTTTGCATGTGCTACTGAGCATTTACTCTACCGGCTCAGAATTTGCAGAATGTAGTTTAAAATTCCCTTGAAATGTGCCTATGCAGCGTCCTAATCATAGAACAGTTCATTCCTTAGAAAGAACTTTTCAGGAAACTGAGAGAATGAAAATACGGTTTGCAAAACAGTCCTAGAAAGGTTTCCTTGAATCACGTTATTATCTGCTACTGTTAGCAATGAAAACATAATGTAAGTTTTGATAAAGGACACAGTTCTCTATATTTGTTAGTAATATATTCTTTCATAAAAATTTATATGCCGCTTGATGGTAAAAAAACAACCACCTCAAAGCAGCTTACAAAAGATAAAACAGTAAAATCAAGAAAAAAGTACAGCCATACTTTAAAACATACAGAAGTTAAGATACTAAAACAGCTTAAAATGACCTCAAATTTCTAAGCGTATTGGTTTTTAACAAGTGCCAAAAGGAATACAGTGAAGGGGCCTGCTTGCTCTCAGTAGGCAGGGAATTACAGAGTGTAGGCACTGCCACACTGAATGAAAGAGTTCTTACAAATGCAGAATAGCACCTGTAGTAGTGCCAATTCTGTCAATTGATGCAGTTGAGTGGGCAAATGTGAGGTAAGGCGATCTTTTATAAAGACAGATTTCATTCATAAGTTTATTAGCACTTTTTGTTGTTGTTACTGCTTACTTCTGTAAGCCGTCATGACCTACATCTTCACTACTACAAAAGAGAAGGAAGTAATTTGATTTCCATGAAGCGTACTGAATGAGAATAGGAGTGCTTTATTATAAGAGAGTCAGGAGAAGAATACTGACTCGAATAACCACAGAAGTCAGAGGAACTAATCGTTTCTGTGGCTTCAGTGGATGTGTTATCGTCAGTCTAACAGTGGATAGAACTGAACTCAGGATGTTGCAGCAAACTGGGTGGAGTTTCCTGAAATGGTGCTCATAATGCAATCCCACTCATACAAAAACATACCCTTAAACATGATTTATTGGAAAGCGAATTGCAAGTTGTGATGCTTCTATCAAACATGAGATGGGCATATCTACATTAAGAATAATGTATGTTATCCAACCATGCTGCTTAGCTAATGGTAAGAATTATGTCGGTAGAAAGGTGAGGGAATATATTTTGGGCAATTCTTCTACCCGCTGCAGCCCTTTCCAAATCTTCTGCAGCAGATCGGGGGAAGGGGACATCTCTGAAAACTGCTTCCCTCCCTGTTCTCACTGTCTGCTGAGCAGCAGCATTGTATACAGCCTATTGGCATTTCTCTGACCGATTGAAGCATGAAAATACTCTTTAAGTCTGTGTAGAATGGCAGGTTTCATCCAATTCACATTAAGGTCTTGTTTTGAGAAAATATATTGTACCACTGCAAATACCATTTTAACTTTTCTAATACAGTGTGTTGCTCACGTTGGTTTTCTTTTGCAGGTAATCTCCTTAAAGAAAACACCGGAGGAAGCTTACCGAATACTTTTATCCGGATCTAATCCACCATATCTTCCATTTAGGTATGTCTGCCGCAGTAATAATACCTAACGTTTGCCTAGCACTTCCATGTGTAATGCATTATCTAGTTGCAATCCTTAACAACAACCCTATAAGATAAGTCTGTATTTGATATCCCCCACATTGCAGGGGGAGCCTAACAGACAGGCCTGCAGCCTCCTAGTGTGTTTGTGGCAGAGGTGAGAGTCAACCCAGGCACTTCCTGATTCATTGCTCAGCCTCTTAGCCATTACATTATGCCAGCTGTAGTTACAAATTAAACAGATTAGCTTCAAAGCTTCTAAATAGGTGTTTGAGGCTGGCATATTGTGTTGCAGTCGCTGCCTAGCATTTAAATTACCATGATACATGGATGATGTTGTGTAGCTTCTTTCGGGCACCATGATACTCCCCTTAGTCTACATTTCTCTTGCTTCATTTTTGGACCTGTTTTTCTGACTGCTTTTTGTTCCTTTCTCTTGCTACCCACCAAAGGTCCAAAGAGCTGTACATGCTCTAATTTTTTTTCCCTGGCTCCCTACTTCATTCCTTCTCCCACACACCACCTTACCACCTCCCAATAACAAGTCTCTGGAAGATTGCCAGCACAGACCTTTGGGGTGGCAGCCCTATATTTGTGGAAGCTCTGCTAGCACCAATGTTGACAGGGAAGCTCTGCTAGCACCAATGTTGACAGATTTTGGGCACCAGGTAAAAATGTGTTGTTGTTTTTTAATCCTCCCAGGCATTTAGATCCTAATATTGTTGGGGTTCTTGTGGCTATCTCAGTTGGAATCCTTGTGTTGTGTGAGGGAAGGGCATTTTTGCTTGGTTTTGGTGATTGTGGATCATTGGTTTTAGTGTGTTGTTGGTTTTACACATCATACATATTTGTGGTTGCATGAATGCTATTGTTGTGACTCACTTTGAGACTTTTCTGGTAGAAAAGGACAAATAAATTCAATGATTAATATTACTTGAAAGGTTTTGGCTTCATTGATAAAAATTAGCTAAACTTTCGCTTTTGTGTTCTTTACTGTGTCAGTTGGTACATTTCTGCATATTAAATATGCATGTCTTCTTTTCAACCAGATTTAAGAGGCCATGTCTCCAGGCTTGTATTATGGGCTTGTAACTTCTGAGAAACTGATTTGCACTTCACCATAAAACCTAGAGAGTTAGTGTTTGGCAGATCTAGTTAAATAGAAAAGATGTGAGTCACAGATGCCAATGAATTAAGTTTGACCGTTAGGTAGATAGTGACAGAAGCCGTTCCTTTGTCATTATCAGAATGACTTTCTACCTTCTGCCTGAAAATGTAGGAAAGAGTACAAGGATAGGTACATAAGGCTGGCATTTCCTGACAGTCATTTTCATTAGGGCAAAATTGCTGCTGATTTAGCTGCTTAAAGAAGCTGGCTGGGTGCCAAGCATCAAAGCTTTCTCAGCACAGAGCTATTTGTAATACCTGGAGTTTAGATAGCTGCCAGGAATGTATTCTGAGCTGTAGGCATCAAATATTTAAAGCAAGGGCAACTTATCAATGATAGCAATGCTATTTTGAAGCCTACATAGCTACTGTGTGTGCTCACTTGGTGGGGTCAGTGCATGGAACATGGTAGTTCTAGCACATACACGGTTTAGTTATTTACTTGTTTTTTTAGTTGAGAGCAGAATTGACTTGTGCTGCTTGGTTACTTTTCTCCTGGAGCCTGTTTATTCATTATAGGCCTCCCAGTGCCAATTGTAAAGCGTTGGACACAAACTGCTTGTTTTCCCCTCTGAAATCTACCTGGGAAGGGACTGGAAGTGCAGCTCAAACATGCACAGTCTCTTCATTGTGTTCCCCTGCAGGAATACCCAGTTTTGATATTTTCTTTTCCAGCAGCAAAGGTATCAGGTGAGCATGATGTCTATTCCTGTCTCTACCTGGGTACGATTTCAAGAGAAATGCATGTCTGAATGTCGGGTAGGAATGGAAGAACAGAAAAAAGATACATATTTCCATGATCCAAATCAGCTTGTTGTTTGTTCCAGAACAACAAAAATACTTTTCTTCATTTGTAAAGATTCTCAGTTCAAATGACTGTGGATACCAGGATTTCTCAGTCTAGTGATCCAAGAAGGACCAGTTACGGGATGCCATTATAAGACACTTTTAGGAGATTTTTACATTGTGATATCTATTAATGGGGAGGGTTTTTGTAATTTTGTTTATAAGGCAACATGCCTGTCTCTTGTGCTTCAAGGAGCATTAAGAGCAGCTTACAAATCACATAATTAAAAACAAAGCCAATACTGAAATAACCAAACAATCATAAAGTACTCCTGGGCCTAGAATCAATAATCAAAAACCAGAACCAATTCTAGGAGGATATCTAAACCCAATGCCTGATTATGTAAAGTGAATCAGATTGCTGGGTATCTTGAGATAACAAATTCTACAATCCAGATGCTGCTACTGAGAAGAGTGTTAAGTCGTGGGTTGACATAGCAGCCGGCACAGCGATTTCTTCAAGTAGCTCTTTATTATGGTAAGCTGGAATACAACTGACTGCGAACAGCTCAGCCGGCCTGTATTTATAGGCAGCCGGCTGTCAACATTGTAACCACAACAGCCCAGAGTTCCCGCCTAAAATAACTGCCGCGGACCTGAGTGAAAACTATCTACAGACCTGAGTGAAAACTATATACAGTATCCCCCTGTTGGCCCAGGGTGAAACTACACTACATAACACCCCTCCCCACCGAGATAAGGCGTTAGTTACAATCGTAATGGTTTCATTATATACAGCACTACGCGTAATGGTTCAATTAGGCACAAAAGCATATCGGTTACATTTCCCATACTTAGACCAACAGTGATACCTGTCCAACAACATAGTCCTTTAAATAAGTTGGGCGCTTGGAAACTCTGCCAGACCGCCGGGGACTGGTAGCCAAGTCCGGAGGGCCACACAGTTCTTGCTGAGGCTGTGGTGCGACCCTAGGTGGCGTTGGAACCAACTCCCCTGGATCCGCTGCTGTGGGTGGAGCCTCCGCAAGTGGAGTGGTCTGAGTCTGTTCTGAAACGGCTTGGTTCGGCTCCACGCTGGCAGTTTGCGAGGGAGGTGTAGGTGGGGCCTCGCCATCTGTACGTGTCTCTTCTGGAGCCGCAAGCGCAGTTGGGGGCACCTCGGTAGTGTCCAAGTCCCCAACCCTGCGCCTAAGCTGGTCTATGTGCCGTCGCCACAAGCGTCCGTCTTCGAGTGCCACCTGGTACGAGCGAGGTCCAGTGACTCCCACTACTGTGGCTGGCACCCAAGGGATGTCCCCCACATAGTTCCGGGCAAAGACCTGGTTTCCTGGGACAAATGACCGTGGTGCGTTGGCACAGCCTGGGGGTTCAGCCACGGCAAAGTCTGGGTGTAGCCGGTCGAGCGGTGACCTGAGGCGGCGGCCCATAAGCAGTTCAGCAGGACTCCTCCCTGTGGCCGCATGAGGGGTGATGTGTTGCACGAACAAGTATTCGGCGACCCGCTCATGCCAGTCTCCCCGGTCCAGGCGCGCCAGTGCCTCTTTTGTCGAGTGCACCATTCTTTCCGCTTGCCCGTTGCTGGATGGATGAAAGGGTGCCGTTAGGGCATGGCGGATGCCCAGTCCCAAAAGATACCGCTCAAACGTGCCTGACGTGAACTGCGGTCCGTTGTCAGAGACAAGGACATCAGGACACCCATGCGTTGCAAACAGGCCTCGCAGCACCCGGATGACAGCTTCGGTAGTGGTGGAGGGCATCAGGGCGACCTCCAGCCATTTGGAATAGGCGTCCACCACTACCATAAAGGTCCGGCCGTGAAAGGGGCCAGCCAGATCGATGTGCACCCTCGACCAGGGTGTCTTTGGCGTCTCCCAGGTGTGTCCCTTAGCTGCCGGTGGTGCAGGCCTCGACTCCTGGCACGCTTGACAGGCGGACACCCAGGCAGTGATGGCATCGTCCATATTAGGCCACCAGACGTAACACCGAGCCAACGCCTTCATTTTGACAATTCCCGGGTGGCCAACGTGCAGAGCCTCCAGGACGCGCTGACGGAGTCCCTGGGGAATCACGACGCGGTCTCCCCACAGCAGGCAGCCACGATGAGCTGAGAGTTCATGTTGTCTGGTTGCGAAGGGCTGGAACTCCGATGCAAAAGGCCCTTGTGGCCACCCCCTCCACACCCAGTTGAGCACCCGGCTGATGGTGCGATCCTGGGCAGATGCGGAGGCCACAGTGGCAGCCGATACAGGCGCTGCCGGAAGATCCTCAATCAGAAGGAGCGATGAAGCTGGAGCCGGGTCTTCCACAAATGCTGGAAGCGGGCAACGGCTGAGGGCGTCGGCATGGCCCATCGATTTCCCCGGGCGATGGATGAGCCGGTAGTGGTAGGCAGCCAGGAAAACAGTCCATCGCAGCATGCGTGGTGAGAGGACTGGTGGAGTTGGACGATCACCGGCGAGGAGGCCCAGGAGTGGCTTGTGGTCAGTGATGAGGTCAAAAGTCCTGCCATAGAGGTATTCATGGAACCTCTTCACTCCAGCCACAAGTGCCAATGCCTCCTTGTCGAGCTGGCTGTAATTCCGTTCCGTCGGAGATAGTGTCCTGGAAAAGTAGGCGAGCGGTGCTTCTCTTCCATCTGGAAAACGGTGACTAAGGACAGCACCGATGCCGAAAGGTGAGGCGTCGCAGGCAAGGACCAGCGGCCTGGATTCACTGTACTGTACCAGCACACTGTCTGAAGAAAGGAGAGCCTTGACCGCGTTGAAGGCCGCCGTCTCCCGATGACCCCAGGCCCAAGGCGTCTTAGTGCTAAGGAGTCGGTGAAGAGGCTCAGCCACTGTGGCTTTGTGGGGCAGGAACATGTTATAAAAGTTCAGCAGCCCCAGGAATGCCTGCAACTCCGTTTTGTTCTTTGGGGTGGGGGCCTGCTGGATAGCGCGGATCTTGGATGTGGTTGGATGAAGACCGGAGGCATCGATAAGATAGCCCAGGAACTCTACCTGTGGA